GACCAAAAGGCAAATCTCAAGATCGCGCCGCCGATGGAAAACCAGGAGAGCCAGGAATGATTGGTCCACCAGGGCCACCCGGAACCGTTGGAGAACCCGGTCCTCCTGGACCACAAGGACAACCTGGACGTGTTATTCAGGTTAATGGAGCTGCTGGCCCGGCTGGTCCTCCAGGACCTAAGGGACCACCTGGACCCAAAGGATTGCCCGGAGTCAACGGAGTTAATGAAGTTGGTGAACAGGGACCAGTTGGTGCTCCAGGTAATCCAGGACCAGCTGGCGCTCCTGGACCACAGGGACCACAGGGACCAATGGGACCATTTGGTGAGTGAATTCCTAGAAATGATTTGATGCAATAACTAGCTGTGACATTACCCCTCATAATTTTCAGGAGAAGAAGGCTCATGCGACCACTGTCCTGAGCCCCGTACACCACCTGGCTATTAATGAAACGGAGAAGAGAACGCTGTTGAAGGGCTACGTGTCTCTCCAACCAATTCTCAAAACTCTGTCGCCGGTTCGGCCGGTGTTGCTCAAAGCTGCATGCACGTACTCCTCAAGATCACAATCACGACAAAAGTAATAATAAATCACATTGCTTCGTTGAGCGAAACACATATGAGTGGCTTACAGCGCCATATTACAAACAAGCCTTCAAGCTTCCACGCTGATCCCATTCCTGAGCGAAAATTGTCAACAAAGGAATAAATCAAGGTGTTAAAAATTATTGAAGAAGTAAAGAACAACAAACACGCACCAAAAATTACTGCGATGGTGTAGATCTGGCTGATAATTGAACTGAACGTGGCAACGGTCAACCTTTTGGAGAAGTACTGTGATTTAAGAACAGTCTTTATCCAACACAGGAAAAATGACAATTGTTCAAAACTGAAATGTCACGAGAGTAAGACCATTCCTACACCATGTTGGAATGTCAGGCTTACTCCGTCCCAGGGGTAAGGAGGTAGGCAGCATTCAGACTTCGCGACAGCAGCGCTTTGGTCGCGCGATTCGACGATCGACGCGCATGCTTTTGGCTGCCTCGATGCGTCGAACGCGCCGTCCCGAAGTCGGAACGCTGCCCTGTGTACTGCAACTCCATGCTCGCTACAATATTCACAAAAAAATTCGAATATCGTAAGCCTCAAAAGCTTACGATTAGATTGCCACTTTTTAAAGGTTCGTCACAGTGCACAAAGTAGTCAAGTCAACTTGCATTGATCTTGTCACTGAGGAAGCCGTCACTGTAGAAATATGAGGCATTAGATTACTTTGGCCGTGCTGCTCCACAAAAGGCAATTGACCACTGTCAAAGTTCCTTATAATTCCCCGACCATGAGCCAGTTTACAAATTAAGGGCATAAGGTACGATAATTTGGTTCTCGCTCAAAAATAAGAAGGTATATAGAGGGGAAACGACGAAAAAGAATGGAAATGGCCAAAAACCTGCTGAAACAGCATCCATCTGCACGGCCTCATCGAGCACTTTTGTACGAGTTTCTCGTTGGAATTGTGCTAAGAAACGCTATGATAAATGCACGTACTTATATATTCATGTAATAACGTTTCGTATCGATTGCACGTCATAAGTGAAGCGATAACAGCACCAGCGTCGTTGTGACTGTGGGCGTGTGGTTGCGATGGGAGGAACCGGTCCGGATTTGACCCGTCGCGAAGTCTGAACGCTGCCGTGGACCGCACTTTAGTGTGTACTTACAGCGAAGGCGTACCTCTGTTACCCATTACTGCGAGTAGCTGAATGAGTCCGCTAGTTATAGGACCTCAGCCAGGCTGTCCCCTGTGAGCTATTTCCACTCTTTTTTGACATTTCTGGGACCGCTCAGCAAAAATGATTCATTTTCTTGTTCCACTCAGCTACTGGTGGGAAGGCCGCAGGTGGGAACCACTGATTGCGACCCGACAGGTCGCGGTGTTATAAACTGTATCTCTTCATCATGCAAAAACGAAGGCGCTTTATAAGTTGAAAGTGTAAAGACTTTCCTGGTAAATTCTGCAGGAATGTAATGTACTAATTTGAAAAGTACTACTTTGAAGTAGACTCTGCATAATCGGCACTTTCAAACATCATTATGGCCACTGCGCATACCAGAAAAAACTGGCCAGATGTTAACACTTTTCTTTGAAAGAAATTTTCCAGCGTTTTGCCAAGGAGGCACACCTGCGAAGAGCAGCACATCTGGACGTTCAAGGTCTTGTCGTGTAAGCAATGATGACGCGATTCACCACAGCCCGATCTCCGAAACGTCTTTCACTGCTCCCCATTTTCGGAGTGCTAGCGGTAAACATAATATCCAGAACTGAACGCGCATTGGCCATTAGTGATTGATGGACCGGTGGTTTACAACCGTTCTGCTATGGAGCGCTCATCCAATCGTCAGTTTCTTGTCGACAGAGCAACCACATAAATATTTGTTTATTTATTTATTTATCATGCACGCGCAGGTGCGCTATAGTAAACAGAAGTGGAAACGACCAAAAAAAAACTGCAAGGTATCGTAATATGAAACGATTATGTCGGGCAACGGCAATACACAGTATAGGAATTTTCTATACATAGAATCATCAGAAATTACGGGGTATGTACAAATGAGTCTCGAAGACCGCGTATTCACAAGTTCCGAAAAGCCCAAAATTGGATCAGTAATTTTGAACAAATAACGTGGGACCAGTCTTACACCCCTTTACTTTTGAATGCGGAAAAAACAATCATTGATCATCATAGGAAAATGGGAAAGCAGTACAGGATTAACATAAACAATATGGCTTGATGATCATTTTAACAATTTCAACGAGCACGACGCAGCAGGACTCGTACGCGGCGCCCACCAGCGCGGCGACCTACTTATCATCGACGATAGAATCGCCACACACCTTGCTCCTGTCGATAAGCTAACACGAGTTCAAGATACTCCGCGCCCATCGCCGCGCGTGGCGGAGCGGCGAATTACGATTCTCTTGCCCGCGTCCCGAAATCATGATTGCCTGTTACGGCGAGCAGGTCTATTTTCATCAATTTTCTCCGAAACGCTTGTGTATTCGGCGTACAAACAAATATATTGGGATTGTTTGAAGAAGTGGGACATCACTGGCTAAGATTTCATGAACTGGATGTTCCCAAGAATGCATCTATCGGGCTAGCAGGTAGAAATAAGACTTTTGTGCCATTTCTTTTTTTTTCTTCTGTTTTTCTTCTAAG